ATTTTAAAGGAAAAAAAGTAATGATGAAGCAGTCACGGATTTTATTGTGCATAGCGCGCCAGGGGTGGAACTTCCAAGTTTATTGATAAATTTTTAATTCTGCTCCCTGGGTTGCCTGTACATGGTAAGCATACACGCGTCATCAATTAAATTATTGAGTGTTTATCGAATAGCCATCAAATTAAATCAAATTTTTATTATTTATTTCGCAGTTTTCAATTATTCTAGATTTTACAGTCTGCCCTGATCTGGATGGGGTTTATCAATCACATTTTTATGCGGAATAATTAAAATAGATTATGAAAAAAAAATACTAAATAAATAAACTAACACACAATGTTTAGATACATGTAAAAAAATATTATTTCCATTCATTTCTTTTAATCAACTTGATCGACAATAACTGGTATTTTGAGATCCCTATTCGGGACTCTTTTTCAAAATTTCCATACCCCTAATTTAAATTATTCGCATGCAATAATTCAAAAACCTGTCATTATTATTTCAGAATGCTCTGACTACATTTATTATAAAATGTGTATATTTATTTCAAATTATTTTAAATTATATTGGAAGGGACATAGAATAAATCTAGGAAAAAAAATACCAATATAGAACTATCTAAAGTCCAAGATAAACGTCAAAGTAAAAGCATAATTTAATAATTAATTAGCAGCCTTTAACGTCTTGTTTTCCTTATACAAAGAACACTTGACTTCACGGCTTCACTTCGATCATTATGTGAACGGCTAAAGTTCTCTCTCTATGTATAGATTTTCTTTATTTAAAGATTTATCTTACTTTAAAAACATCATTAACATAAAGAAATTAAATTTAAATAATAAAATAAATAAAATATTAAGCACGAAGTATATAAAAGTAATTTGGAAACATCTCGCTCTAATCTATGTCTAAAAATATAAATACACGGTATTACTTGATTAGAAAATCTCCTTATTTTCAGAAAGATGTTGAGGGAAATAAAAGTCCACATATTTCAAGCGCCCAGAAATAAGCGCCCATTCTCAAAACGTGACAGACGTGAATGAGAAAAAAAAGTGATTTAAAGCATGAATCGTAAAGTTGCCAGCAACGAAAAATGGGGAAATAAAGGTGAGAAACAAAAACACATGCAGTTTTACTTCATGTCTTGCAAGTAATGAGTATGGTTGCCCATTTTTGAGCGCTTGAAACACGTCGACATTTATTGCCAGTTGCTTATTTTTGAAACTTATGAAGTTTTTTTTTAGACAAGTAATATCTTACCGGCACAGTTTCTTGATATTATTTATTTAATGCACATACATGGTGCTTTAAAAGAGAAAAAAAAATATATCAAAAAAATGAAAGGAGTAATCGGGCATTAAAAAGTAAAAAAACTGCATTGCAACTTACGATACCTAATTCAGACTAGTTTTTTTTTTTCAAACAACTATATAAATACATACCTGTCTTAAGAGCACGGAAGCTGTCTTGTGGAGGAACTTGTCTCGTTCTTGCTTGTAATTTTTTTCCGGGAAGATTTAATCCATCCGAGTTAATCATTTCTATAGCCTTTCTAAAAGCTAACTCTTGTTGACTTTCATTTGTTTCAAATAGGCCACCTGTAAATAAAACACAATCTTACTGCTTTTATTTAAATATAATAACCCATATATACTTAACTGATATGGGTGTGTGAAGTTGTCAAACTTAAGTTTGAATTTTATCTTCAAACGTTTGTTCATTGTAGGAAATTGCTAGCCCATGTTTGCCCTCCAAAAGTTTTTGTTAGCCCACCCACCATAAAATATGTTATGACTATCTGTTTCCAACTTCAAAACTTTGCCAAAATTGGTTTTGGCCATAACTGTTTTGGATGGGTGGGCTAGTGCAAATTTTTGGCGAGCTAACATGGGCTAACGATTTCAAACATCATGCTAACTTTTGGAGGCAAAATTCAAACTTCTGGTTTCTAGGTCAAATAATGGCTAAAATTTGTTTTGACCGTAAACCTTTTTTTTCTGTAGATGGGCTAAGGATTTCCCAAAATAGATTTACGCTTAGAAACAAAATTTTGACTTCTGATGGCAAAGTCACATACCTAATTATTCAATGTATCAGTAAACATTTGTGTAACTTTAAATTAACTGTTATTAAAAAACCTTAATACGTTCGATAAATTTGTGTTCATAATATTTTCAACTAATAAGCGCATAAGAAGCAAATTACAAAATTGGATTAATAATAATAGGATCTATATAAGATCTCAAAAATTTCATAGATTTTGACAAAACTGATTCCTGTAAATGCCGCAACAAGCATTTTATTTCTCCAGACAGAAAAAAATAATAATAACTTTCCATGAGTACATTCTAAGAAATTCTCGTGAAATTTAAAGAGTTCACCATTAATTTATACGACCAGCTCGCATCTTGAACACACAAATCCCAATACCCATAATAGTAGCGAACTTCAGCAAAATTTAGTAAGTTGACAATTAATTTATACGATTATTATGTAAAGCTTCTTTAAAACTTTGAGGAGCTATAATATTCTTATTGATGGTTACATCAACGTGTTAGAGACAGTCCTGGAACAGATACCAACCAGCACCGAATATTAACTCCCTCTACATTGATGACAATGAAGTGATAAAAATAATATAGTATTTTAATGGTTATATTATCAATGCTGATTAACTGATATATCTGATTGGAGGCCCAAAAGGCTGCCATATCTTCATGCCAGTAACTCGCAATTCAAAGTAAATGAATTGTTCGCAACGGACAGTTAGGAGCATGGGAAGAGAACCATGGTTTGGGAATTATCGCAAGATAACGTAGCAAAAAATAAGGCTAACCCCCCGTACTCAATATTAAATATGAAAATAATTTGACGAAAACGAATCGCCAAAAAGATTGCGAGAATTGGTATAACCATGCAACTGAAACATTTCTGTGATAAGAAATAAGGAAAAACGAATTATAAATAGATTTTTGTTTTCAATTCAGTCGCGGCAGTGAACTGATGAGTCTTACGTTAGTATTGGAATAAAAAGTTGGCCGTTACATTGATTGCTAAGAAAATAATATACACAGTCCAGTCACATTAATGTGACCACCTGTCAAAAGCCAGAATAACCACCTTTGGCTGAGCGGGCCGCTACAAAACGTGCAGGAAGAAAGTCAATTAGGTTTCTGAAAGTGTTCACTGGGATGTTGAGCCATGCCGACTCCAGTGCCGTGACAAGCTGCGCTAGATTACGCGGATGAGGATCTACGGCCCGAACAACCCGATCGAGGTGGTCCCACAGATTCTCGATTTTGTTCAAATCCGGTGAATTTGCTGGCCAGGAGAGTACGGTAAATTCATCCTGGTGCTCTTCGAACCACGCACATGCACTGCGAGCTGTATGACACCTCGCATTGTACTGGTGGTAGATGCCATCATTCTGAGAAAAAATCATTTGCATGTAGGGGTGGACATGGTCCGCAAGGACAGATATGTACTTATACTGATCCATCGTACCTTCCACAATGATGAGTGCACCCAGTGAATGCCAGGAAAACATTCCCCAAACCATAACGCTCCCTCTTCCAGCCTGCAGCCTTCCGGCAATTGTTGCAGGGTGTTTGCTTTCAGACGTTTTACGCCNTGATAAATTTTTAATTCTGCTCCCTGGGTTGCCTGTACATGGTAAGCATACACGCGTCATCAATTAAATTATTGAGTGTTTATCGAATAGCCATCAAATTAAATCAAATTTTTATTATTTATTTCGCAGTTTTCAATTATTCTAGATTTTACAGTCTGCCCTGATCTGGATGGGGTTTATCAATCACATTTTTATGCGGAATAATTAAAATAGATTATGAAAAAAAAATACTAAATAAATAAACTAACACACAATGTTTAGATACATGTAAAAAAATATTATTTCCATTCATTTCTTTTAATCAACTTGATCGACAATAACTGGTATTTTGAGATCCCTATTCGGGACTCTTTTTCAAAATTTCCATACCCCTAATTTAAATTATTCGCATGCAATAATTCAAAAACCTGTCATTATTATTTCAGAATGCTCTGACTACATTTATTATAAAATGTGTATATTTATTTCAAATTATTTTAAATTATATTGGAAGGGACATAGAATAAATCTAGAAAAAAATACCAATATAGAACTATCTAAAGTCCAAGATAAACGTCAAATTAAAAGCAGAATTTAATAATTAATTAGCAGCCTTTAACGTCTTGTTTTCCTTATACAAAGAACACTTGACTTCACGGCTTCACTTCGATCATTATGTGAACGGCTAAAGTTCTCTCTCTATGTATAGATTTTCTTTATTTAAAGATTTATCTTACTTTAAAAACATCATTAACATAAAGAAATTAAATTTAAATAATAAAATAAATAAAATATTAAGCACGAAGTATATAAAAGTAATTTGGAAACATCTCGCTCTAATCTATGTCTAAAAATATAAATACACGGTATTACTTGATTAGAAAATCTCCTTATTTTCAGAAAGATGTTGAGGGAAATAAAAGTCCACATATTTCAAGCGCCCAGAAATAAGCGCCCATTCTCAAAACGTGACAGACGTGAATGAGAAAAAAAAGTGATTTAAAGCATGAATCGTAAAGTTGCCAGCAACGAAAAATGGGGAAATAAAGGTGAGAAACAAAAACACATGCAGTTTTACTTCATGTCTTGCAAGTAATGAGTATGGTTGCCCATTTTTGAGCGCTTGAAACACGTCGACATTTATTGCCAGTTGCTTATTTTTGAAACTTATGAAGTTTTTTTTTAGACAAGTAATATCTTACCGGCACAGTTTCTTGATATTATTTATTTAATGCACATACATGGTGCTTTAAAAGAGAAAAAAAAATATATCAAAAAAATGAAAGGAGTAATCGGGCATTAAAAAGTAAAAAAACTGCATTGCAACTTACGATACCTAATTCAGACTAGTTTTTTTTTTTCAAACAACTATATAAATACATACCTGTCTTAAGAGCACGGAAGCTGTCTTGTGGAGGAACTTGTCTCGTTCTTGCTTGTAATTTTTTTCCGGGAAGATTTAATCCATCCGAGTTAATCATTTCTATAGCCTTTCTAAAAGCTAACTCTTGTTGACTTTCATTTGTTTCAAATAGGCCACCTGTAAATAAAACAAAATCTTACTACTTTTATTTAAATATAATAACCCATATATACTTAACTGATATGGGTGTGTGAAGTTCAAACAGAAATTGAATTTTATCTTCAAACATTCAGCTGTTTCCAACTTCAGAACTTTGCCAAAATTGGTTTTGGCCATAACTGTTTTGGGTGGGTGGGCTAGCGAAAATGTTTGGTGAGCTAACTTGGGCTAATGATTTCAAACAACATAACTTTTGGAGGCAAAATTCAAACTTTTGGTTTCTAGGCCAAATAAAGGCTAAAAATTTTTTTGACCATTTCTGTGGATACGCTAAAGATTTACCAAAATAGGCTTATGTTTAGGAGCAAAATTTTAACTTCTGATGGCCAAATTCACTATCTAATTGACGTACCCTGAAATATCAGTAAATAATTGTGTAACTTTAAACTGTTATTAAAAAACCTTAATGCGTTAGATAAATTTGTGTTAATAATATCTTCAACTAATAAGAGCATAAGAAGTAAATTGCAAAATTGGATTAATAATAATCAGATCCCTATAAGATCACAAAAATTTCTTAGATTTTGACAAAACTGATTCCTGGAAATGCCGCAATAAGCATTTTATTTCATCAGACAGAAAAAAAATAATAAATTTTCATGAGTGCATTCTAAGAAATTCTCGTGAAATTTAAAGAGTTCACCATTAATTTATACTGCCAGCTTGCATCTTTAAGACACATATCCTAATACCCGTAATTATAACGAACTTCAGCAAAATTTAGCAAGTTGACAATTAATTTACACGATTATTATGTAATGCTTCCTTACATTGTTCGAGAAGCTACAACATTCTTGTTGATGGTTACATCAGCATGGTAGAGACAGTCCTGGAACAGATACCAACCGGCACCGAATATTAACTCCCTCTACATTGATGACAATGAAGTGATAAAAATAAGATAGTATTTTTATGGTTATATTATCTATGCTGATTAACTGATATATCTGATTGGAGGCCCAAAACACCCCCAAATCTTTATGCCAATAATTCCAAATTCAAAGTAAAATAATTGTTCCCAACGGACAGTTAGGAGCATGGGAAGAGAACCATGGTTTGGGAATTATACCAAGATAACGCAGCAAAAAATAAAGCTAACCCCCCGTAATCAATATTAAATATGAAAATAATTTGACCAAAACGAATCGCCAAAAAGACTGCGAGAATTGGTATAACCATATAACTGAAACATTTTTGCGGTAAGAAATAAAGAAAAACGACTTACAAATAGATTTTTATTTTCAATTAAGTCGCGGCGGTGAATTGATGAGTCTTACGTTAGTACTGAAATAAAAGGTTAGCCGTTACATTGATTGTTAAGAAAATAATATGTTTAATATTCGCTTTTTGTAAAATTTCATAAAAAGCCTTAAAAAAAAGTTTATAAAACCATCAAATTTGATTTAATTTGGTGGTTATTCGTAATATGAGCTAATGGGTTTCCAATAATAACACAATATCGAATCTGTAAAGCTTGGATGAAAAGCGAGAGTCGTAATACGTGTAGTTTTCCTTCAAATAGTAAAAAATATTTAAAGTCAAATTAAAATTCTTGTTTTGGCAAAAGTCTTATTATTTCAAGACAAAATGGCTGCCTTTAAAAGAAATTATTACACTTTCAAAAAAGCGTATGTTTTTAGGCATATGCTTTTCTATGTATGAATTTCTTTTTTAATACACAGACACCAACTCAATATTTTTGTCGACATTACAATGAAATCATTAAATTGATGCCAGTAATATTTATAAAAGCTTACAAAAACGTTAATTATATAGTTTTAATTTTGGCTGCAGGGTATTTCTAATAAATTTAAAACTTTCTTGCACATTAAAAACGTTTCATATTTATACACTATAAACACATTTGATGATATTTTTGGAACATCAATGATTCAAGAGTGAATTTATGCGGATAGAGATATGAATCTAACAATGACTAAGTGAAATATCATTAATAATCAATCACCATTCCTTTCTCTTTCATAACCATTTCAGAAAAATTTATTTTGCTTCTCAATATAGGGTTACACATATTTCACACATAAACTTCAATTGTCTCAGATTTGTATATTTGACCTTCAAGTACGGGAAAGTAGTCTCATTTCTATAAAATAGGGGATTAACAGATCAAACAGGAGAGAGGTCTAAATTTTGATCTCCTTAATACTAATTCCACTTTCAGTTTTTCTTCATATTTTTAATTCAAGAATATTTCAAGTTCAAAAATATCGTATTTTTAAGTTTTTATTCCACAAAAACTAATCGACAGATTCCTTTCAAATTCTTCAAAATAAGGGTATTTATAATTTAAGAGACACGAATAAAAGGCTTTGGTCAATGAAAAAATTATTTTGTAGAGAGAAAATACGTTTTTGAGTACGATTTTGATATTTTAAACATCATCTTCACAAAATATTTAACATTTAAAGGTAAAGACTTCGAATCATTAAGTTACTACATGAAAATCTAAAAATTACATTTAGTTATTCAAGGTGCTTGCTTTTTATTTTTGCACGCGACACACTGCATTACCTTAACTCATATTTTATAAATCACTTGTAACCCGTTGCATTTAACAACTTATATACACTTTAACTGGAATGTGATAAATTCGGTGAGTAATAATGATTACTAGTAATTATTCTCAGATAGTAAGTGACTTTAGAATATCTGCTGAGTAAACCACTGAGAAAGCTTAATTAATCCTTCCTCTAAATTGCATATTCACTTATGATAAACCGTATTTACTAGCTTATTGCAATCAACGTGTAACTCCTTTACCATTTATTAAATCCACCATTTATTATTCACACAGTACTTATCAAGTAAGATTACATACAGTGTAGTATCTTTATGTAATGTTTTACATTCTTTCATACATTCTTTGAAACTAAAAAAGTAGATGATAAATCAATAGAAATTTATTGAAAAGTAAGCAGCTAAGAATGCGCTCATCGAGGAAGCTTGAAGGTTAAAAAAATTTCAGTTATATTTCTATTAAAACAGAATTGATTGCCAATAGTATCTTTATGTAATGTATTCACACAGTACTTATCAAGTAAGATTACACACAGTGTAGTATCTTTATGTTATGTTTTACATTCTTTCGTAAATTCTTTGAAACTAAAAAAGTAGATGATAAATCAATATAAATTTATTGAAAAGTAAGCAGCTAGAAATGCACTCATCGATGAAGCTTGAAGGTTAAAAATGCTTCAGTTCTATTGCTATCAAAACAGAATTGATTGAAAATAAATAAATAATGCATAAATGCATTAAATCATTTGAGGAGACTTTTTATCAAGTGATTTCTAACTTAATTTTAAAAGAGATTTTGTTAAATTTTTAAGGTTCATATTTATAACAAAATAAACGGTAAATAAAATTATACAATGCGAGTAGAATGAAATAAATTGAGATACAAAATAGTATCTTTTAAAGAATGGTGAAGTAATTTTTTCATTTAATTTTCATCTGCAACTTGAAATCTGAGATTTTTCTTTATATCCGATATCTGTTAAATATCTGGTCTTAAAATAGGAGGGACAGCGTCCACAATTTGGAGACTGTTAAGCCTTAGTTTAATCAGGAGACTGCACTGTAAAAAATTCCGGTTCAAATTACGGAATAAAGTACCGGAACTTCAGGTACATCATCCGAAAAAATATTATATCATAATTTTACAGTAATATTTATTACATTAAAGTGACTTGAAAATATTACGGTAATTATTACTGTAAAAGCTAAGATATCTCAGATTTTTTCTTCCTCCATAACATGTTCCTGAAAAAAAAAAAAACGAATTTTATGATAAAAAAATACCGGAACCCTGAGAGACGACGCTTTTTTTACGCTAATTTAATCCGGAACTTTTTACAGTATAGTCGGAATGATTTTAACATTACTATTACTGATGGCAATCATTGCGAGAATGAAATTTTTTTTCAGTCATGTATAAAACCTATATATCTAAAACTCATTTAAGTTCGGAATTTTCCTAAGCAAACTCCTGAAACACTGCACTTTCTGAAAAATCAGTTTACAATCTAAGTAATGCTAATAAACTAGTAAATTGCTTGTTTTATACATCATATTTGCCAAATATTTGAAAAAACTTTTTTTCTTTCATTTTATTTATGTTTGTTGAATTTCCCCTTGCTTTTTCCTACCTCAATGAAATAGCCCTAAAAATAAAGGTATTTTTGAGTAATAAATATTTATATACAGTGTCAGAAATAATGTCGTTAATTGAAGCATGGAACCTTACAAATTTGTTGTGACCTTAATATGGCACTGTATTGAAAGATATTATAATTTTCTTAAATTTGCTTATAGGATAATATGGTTCAACTAGAACGAAACATGATTATGTTAATTCATATAAATGTTGCAGCCCACATTATGATTTTAGGAAGAAATATTATAGTTCAATATTGCGCACATTTTTCCTAGAGTTGTTAAATTTGATTTCTGTTTTAAAAATGTGGAAATAATATTATAGAGTTCATTGAAAACTGGCTTATTTTAACTTAAACCAATTACGCCGTATTTTTAATATGCCGCAAAGCAAAAAAATAAAACTCCTAATGTAAAAGTGGTTATATTTTTTAACTAAATGAATATTTTCTTCTGTTAGCTACTACTTGATTTTGAAACGAATAAAAACATTTGCTTAATGGAAATCAGTTCTGTTTCAGATAAGAAGAATTCGCCTGACATATATTTCACGCTTGGTCAGCATGGGTTTAAATAGTTTCGTTGGCACTTACTTGTTATTTGTAATTGAACAGTTTTTAACAGAGTTTAAAATGGTGTTTTTTGATTAAACAAGCAATTCAATTATTTACTAGATCACAATCTTATTTTGCATTCTTACAACATTCCAACTTTGAAAATGTTATTTTATTTTTTATTATTTTTATTCTATTCTTCATTCAAATAATTACAAGCAATACAAT